ATTGCTTTTTTAATTTATTTAATAATCAAAAGATTTCTAGAAATCTCTATGGCCTACCCATACCAGGGATGAGTTCACTAAATAATATCATTTAAAACTTTTCTTTATGTTATTCTGATAAGTCACTTCATAATGTTATTAGCAAATGCTACATAATGCTCATGAAGTAGAAAACAAGGCATTGGAAAGTTTTCCCTTGTGAGTGAAGCCCATATATTCCACTTCTGGGTCAAGGCTACAACATCGCCCTCTCCAGTTGAATCACAGAATAAATATTTGTTATTAGCATTTGAGTTGCTTTGAGTATTTTTTTTTTTTTTCGTCTTTTCTTTTTGTTAACTATTTGTATTTTATTTCCTAGATGAATTTAATCAGTGGTTGTTACATGTACAAAAGCTAATTTTTGAAAATCACAAACTGAAAAAAAAATGTTCAATAGAGGGTTGACACTGCAGTTTATTGACACCCTAAGTTGATACAAATGAATTAGATATTTCTACAAAATACTGTAAAATACTTTATTTTAGCTGGAATTAATTTTCACTGAAAAGGGTTTTTGTATGGAATTATTTTTGCTGATTTTTGACGAGTTGAATGTGAACTATTGGAAAAAGGTATATTCAGTGGATTTTATTTTCACTGAAGCATCTCTTTAGTGAAAATAGGGAAAATAAATTCCAAGCGAAAATAAAGTATTCTACAGTATGTCACATAACTACTTTACACAATAAACAAATGATAATAGATCTTTCAATGTTTGTACATCATTTTCTTGGTTATAGGTTCCACCAAGTGAATTCTTTTGATGCTAACTTAGCAGTCAATGTATGGTTCAACCACAGACCTAAACTAGATGTATCTGCTGATAAGTGTGGTGATCCCCAACCAAACTCAATTGCTAATGTGTTTTTTGAAACAGATGCCAGTGACATTGTCGGACCTGATCCAATGTATGTATATGTAAATGCAGCAACACAATTTCACTATTAAATTATATATTTCAAATATCAGGGATTTTTTTAAACAAGGGAACAGGGGCACAGCGCCCTCATGCCATGGTCATGGGCCCCCTTACCCTGGGGAGCAGATCCTCTGGCAACCATAAAATTCTGATTGACCAGGGATCACATGTGGCCACAGTCCTTAACTGTGACCTGTCTGTTAGTAATTTTCGCCCAAAGGAAGCCATAGAATGCTCCATTTCAACTTACAATTATCCAAAACTCCACAGCCTGGTAAGGAGAACCCTATCTCCACCACTTGGTGACGCCGTTGAATTGCAGTACTCCCTCTTTTTCTAGAGAAAACCCTGAAATATGATTGCAAATTAAAATTAATGTTTCTTTTTCATGATATATTTTTATAATGTTTTGAATCAATTCTGAGTGTATTATAAATATTCTGTTTATCTGGTATGCTTTACTTGTTGTTTGTTCTTTTCAACTTTCTTTTCAGTAAAACATTTTTAAGTTACGTAAAAACTGGAAGCATATCATTTGATGAATTTCAGAAAAAAATGAAAACTGTAAGTAGTATTCATTGTTTTGCAGAAATCTTCTAAATTGTCTGAATCCACAAAATATTGTATTAATTCATGTTGCATGTTAACTGCTCTGGTACAGTTTGGATGTAACATTTAGGTAGCTTTAAACTGACTTAAGTTAGTGAGCAGGGAAAGGGGACTAATAGTTTCGTTTGTCCTTAGGACCTTTCTCTCCCGTTATTTAAGCATGCAACTATGGCAGTATATGTATTTTCAGAAAGCTGAGATACAAGAGAATACGATCGTGTATTTTTCAAGTTAATATTTGCTCAATGGATTACGAAAGTTACAAAAATTCCTGTGGATCTCCTAAAAATAGGGTTTTTACGTTTCTTGTTCGTTCTTTCCATGAGTTCAATTTTATTAGTGTTGCTTTATAAGACAATGATCTTGGAAACTGGGTCTCAAAATTTGTCTGTGCTTCATAGTTCTGGAAATATAGTCTGTCGAACATTTTGGACTAAATTTCACTTATGTAGCTTTCAACTTATATCTTTGGTTTCTTTAAAATGTTATATATCTGATCCCAATTGTGCTGAGTAATTATGTCTCATATTTGTAACGTAGAAAAATATTAAAAATAATAAGTTGAAATTATTGGTGGCAATAATACATACTTTAACAATTGTATGTTTTCATGAGAAAGCAAAGTTAGCTGATAGTCAGCTTGTAAGTTATGTTATGCAAAGACTGTACTGTAGAGTGGTGCCATCTGTATACACTAGTACATGAATCAACTTTTATTGCTAACAAATGTTGCTGTCACTGTACATGCTCCTGGTTTTCAAAAAACATTGTGAAGATGAATGAATCACTGAATCTGCTTAAAAAATTATTAAAACAGAAACTAATCTAGACTGAAATATCCTGACTCTTTGTCAATACACATACGCAATAAATTTTTATTGCTAGCAATTTTTGCGATTTAAAAATTTAATGGCATTTCTTTTACTGCTGTATAAGTTGCTTCTACAAAATTTATCAAAAATAGTGAAAATCATGAAATTAAAGCAGTGTACATGCAGTTTTGTTTTGTTTTGAGTGATATACAATTGTATTGTGTAAGGTTTAAATTTATGTGAATCTATCAATGAATTGAGTTACCATGGGCAACTGTTTTGGACATGCATTTTCAATTAATACACATCTGGTGGTGAAAACAATTCAGCTACCTGTCAAACTTTTTACATGGTATTTTCATTCAGCTGCAGCCTGTGACATAAATATAATCCTGTCAAGGATTGCAAGCAATCATGCTGCCATAATAATATCATAATATTATGCTGGCATTTCAAAGTGTTACATAATATCACTAATATATGACCATAAGCACAAAAACATGTATAACACAATAAGTGTATCATGGGAGAATACTGCAAAGTATGCATTCAGGCGGCGTAGGATCACATTGAGTGTTGTACCACTTATGTTGATTACTATTGTAATGATGTATTAATGTAGTGTGTGACATTTCTATGTACTATAAAATGTTTGAATTTTACTGTTATAAATTTTTGTAATATCAGGAATATATGATATTCATGAAGGCAAAATTTTGTGAAAATTACTGACACTACTTGTCATTGAACACAAGTGTAATTTTCAATGCTACAAAATTTTGTGATTTTAACAGAATCCAATTTGTTACTCACAAAATTAAACCGATTTGGAGTATATCTTCTCTATATAGCTTCCAGGCTTTTTAGTGTTACTTGACATTGACATACAAGCTAAGTATTTACTGACGGAAACTGAATGTTTTACCAGTCTCTTTAATAGTTTGGGGTTAAAATGAATTAATACCAATATTTTTTCTCAGAATGAGATCAGACACATACACACACATCTTGGGCAATTATTCTAAATGATTATATTCTACACTATCTTGTTTAGGACTCTACTCTTTTGCCAGTATTAGAACAATGGACAGAAGAATGTGATGAACTGTCAGGAGAGGTAATTATTTATTATATTTTCATCTTTATTTTAATCTTTAGTTACCAGTAATGGACAATTACAAACCTTAATTTTTTGTGAAAAGAGTCATCACCATGTAATCATCTAGAACAATGTTAATAATTAGGAAACTGGAAGAATATTGTTTCATATTTGTTACATGAGTGTGAAAATGCAAATCTATGTGCCCCTGATTTTATATTCCCATGTAAACCCACACACACACACACATACACGTCTTAACGACACATATTGCATTAACTTTTAATATATTTGAATTAACTTTTAATAATGTTGTGATATGAACTCGATTAAAACGCGTCACCATATAGGGTTACGTTTTAATTGGAGTTTAATTAAACTCAATTACAATGCAATGCAACATAGAATTGTGCTTTAATAAGAATAAAAGTTGAATATCTTGTGACTGAACATAGAAATGTTTGCGAAGGTTAAGTATAGTAAAGGGGAAGGTAGGGTACAGTTATATTAATGTTAATATAAATTGAACCATACCTTCCGAATTAACTAAACGAAAAGTTCGCAAACTTGGCTTAAATTCAATTTAATATTAATATAAATTATGAAAATAGTTGAACATCCCGTGCAATTATGTAACTATATATATTCTATAAATACAATTCAGGTTCTATCTATTTGGCTTTTTTAGGGATTTGAGTCGATTTTATTCAAAGTGGGTGTTTGCAATGTACACTCTCTGATATACAAGGACACTATAAAAATTAGATGAATGCTAATCCAATCTTTCTGAGTCTTAAAAATGAAATTTTTTACAATATGTCAGGATTTATCCACACATGTCATATCAGTAGTATTTGTATTAATTGTAATCTTTGGTGTAATAAATATATTATAAAAGAATACCATGTCCTCACCCTGATACACTGTATTTGTGGGGTTATTTTGTGGTGCTGTGTATCCATGCTGTATTTTCATGAGCAAAGCAGTACATATGTAATAACGTAATGTTATCATCTTTTACAGCTTTTTCAATTGATAGATTTTGATAAAGATGCACTGCTTTCTAAAGAAGATGTTATCAATCTATATGAAATGGAGAACAAGGTAATGACATTCATGTAAACTCAAATGATGAGATTCAGAGATAGACATATCTTCACCAATTAAGGTTCATTTATTCAGCCGTCGATCACTTCACCATGTGATATAAATATGCTTTAATATGCCAGGGCTGTGGCATTCTACACTAAAAGTTGCATTCTTACTTTGCAAGTATGTAAAACATAATTCCCTGAACAAGCTAGAAACATGAAATGACGATGCTGTCCTTGCTGAAAATTAAGAAAGATTAAAAGTAGTTATCTTACCCTCAACTTCCCACACATTTTATTTTGAAATTGGAGGGTCTTATCCCTTAGACAGACATATATATAATGCACCTGAACTCAGAAACAAACAAACACTCAAAACTCAGTGCCGTCTAATTTCTCATTCTACTCATCCATAATATCATCATTTGATGTCTGGAAATGATACTTCACAAATTTGCGAAGTAAGAATGCAACTTTAGTTGTTTACATAACACAATGAATACATAGACAAGTTTTGTTTTGCTTTAGGAAACACCAGAAACTGAAGAAATTGCAGATATCATGGAAGCCTTCAATGAAATTATGATAGAACAACAAGCAGTAAGTTTCATGCCATTTATCAAATTAATTTATATTATAATAATTTTTCGCATCAAGAATGCATACATTTAATTGTATGTTTTGTATTTCAGATCCTTGCAGAAAATGCATATAAGAGGCTGAAAGCAGAAGGTAACTCAGCAAAGAAGGAGGAATTGTAATATTATTTTAGTGTGTTTCTAGAGCAGCTATGTTTTGAGTAATTGTAATGTTGTCATTTCCAGTAATAGATGGTTATCAAATGACCCAGATAACTGATTTATTACAAAGAGTTGATTATCTTGCAATATTGCTAAGAACCACTATGAAGGTCACTAAACTATGTACGTATAATTACCGTTAACACTTTGAGTGCCTTAATTTGTAGTCTGCTAATCCCAAAATGAAATGTTGATATAAACTGACAAAACTTTTAATCAAAAACTAAAAGCAACATCTAAAACTGTTCGTATGGCCAATGATGATGTTGAAATTTAGTGAAAATTTTACAAAATGTGAAAATATTTGCGCTGAATTTTTGGTGGGAAAAAAATCTGGCACTCAAAAGGTTAATAAATATCTATAGAAACTGCATTGTCAGTTATAATAGTCATAGAATATTATGTACTTGCCACTCAGCCTACTGAAAGTCCCCACTGGTAGAAACAAATAATGGAAAACAAAAGCTGGGTCAGCAAGCAAAATTCTCAACTATTTATCATATAAATTTTGGGGCCATTCATTTTATCATAAGACATTAAACGACTTGCCACAAATGACCAGATGCTGTCTCAATTTTTATATTTCTTGAGACAGGTAATTGTTGGCTAAAATTCATTTTAAGTTTACACTTAACCTAAAAATGTGCTTAGATGTGTGTCACTTAGTTTAGTCATCCCCAATAAACCAGAGAAATAGCTGCAATCTATTTCAATTTCCTCAATTTCTTACAACCAATTTATTATATCTTATTTTCAAGTTTTGGAGGAAAATATATAGTTTTTGACTCCCATGTGCGAAGCACAAAATGGGAGTCTTTGCAGTTAGTGTGTCTGTGTGTCTGTATGTGTGTATGTGTGTATGTGTGTGTGTATGTGTGTATGTGTGTCCGACTGTTCCACTGCTATCTCAAGAACCATACATCGGTTTTTGATGAAACTTGGTGCATAGATGCTCTGGGCCAATGCGCAGATTTGATTAGTTTTGGTAAAAATCCATGCTCGTTAATTACCTAATTTGCATGATAATTAGCTAATTTTTAGCTGTTCTATGACTGTTCCACTGATATCTAAAGAACCACTCATTGGATTTTGATGAAACTTGGTACATAGATGCTCTGACATATGCGCAGATTTGATTATTTTTTGGTAAAAATACGTGCATATAATTACCTAATTTGCATG